TACGGTCCCAAAACCCCAAAACCCCAAAACCCCATAAAGTTAATAAATTACTAAATAGAAAGTGGATATAATAAATAAAGTAAATTTAAGGTTAACAAATGAAGAGAAGATTCTAACTTAAAATAAATGATTTATCAAATAGATACTTAATCTAGGGGAAAATCGGTTAAGGAGGCTTTGGCACCGTATATGAGGCATCAGTGCTAGATGATAAAGGTGTAAAAATAGAGGGATTATCTGTTGCCTTTAAATAACAAGATATCTCCAAACTTGCCAGTAATGATGCTGATGAATTTACATAAAAAATACTCAGAATGATCAGAGAAATAACAACATTTGAACTAAAACATCCAAATATTGTTGAAGTAATAGATGCTCACATAACAGTGGAAAAAAAGTTTGTGATAGTAAGCGAGTTAGCCTAAAATAATTTATAAAAATATGTCAAAGAACAACCATAGAAACTTAGTGTTTCAAAGATATCTTTCATTATTTTACAATTACTGGAAGCTTTAGAATATATTCATAGCCTGGATATTATTCACAGAGACATTTCCCCCGATAATATTCTAGTTTTCAAAGATAATACTGTAAAGATATGTGACTTTGGAGTTGTCTCTTACGGTTAATAAACATATTAAGGAGCTGGTAAGAAGGGATATCAAGCTCCAGAATCAATGTTAAATCAAAGGTAAACAAGCAAAAGTGATATCTGGTCTCTCGGAATTGTGCTCTACTATCTTGTTACCGGAGAAGACAATATTAATAACTAATCAGTAAATAGTTTACTTTCAGTTCCAGATGAATAGCAAAAGCTTAAGTTGCCTGATAGATATTCCTAATTCCAACAAATCTTTAATTAGATGACTGCATATTATCCTGTTAAGAGACCTTCTATAAAATTCCTGAAAGAGAAATTTGTGCAATTGATTGACAATCCATTAATATACAAGGCTTATTAGGAGGAATTATTAGCTTTTAGAATCAAGTAGTTTTCTGAGGCACAAAAACTTGAAGTTGATTCATTTTCTTAGTTTATTCTAAGTCAGTTACTTTAAAAAGAGGATATGATTTCGAATGATGTAATTTAGGATAACTTGGAGGAGCTCCTTCTATCAATAAAATCTTATAAGTCATTAGTCAAGTCTCACTTGAAGGATAAGCAGGCAGAAAAATTGAAGTTCTAAGGAAAAATAGGAGAGATTCTAATTCCATATGTAGAGAAATAGTTTAACAGCAATGAATTAATTAAAGTTGTTCCAGAGATAAAGCCTTTAACTAATGAGGAGCTAATCTAGAGGTAAAAAGAATTTAGAAGATTAGTAGACAAGTATGTGAAAAAGGTAGACGGGATGAATGATCTTCTTTTCTAGCTAGATGGAGAGTGTAAATTACTGTACAAGGCATCAGAAGACGGATTTAAAGCAGAAGACTTCCATTAAAAATGCGATAATAAAGGCCCTACAGTCGCGTTTGTACTTAGTGAGTTCGGATAAGTATTTGGTGGATACACGTCATAAGAATGGAAGACTCCTGAATCATTTTTCTAATAGAATGCTGATGAAAAAGCATTTATATTTTCTCTCACAAAAAATACAAAGCATGATTAGTATTAGAACAATGAGTACGCTGTGTAGCATTTTAGAAATTAACTCATCAATTTTGGAATGACAGAAATACAAATAAAAGACAGCTGCAATGATAGAAGAACTAGTCAAAGCAACATTGGAAGTACTTATTTGCCACCTAAGGAAATTAAATACGGAGATTAGAAAGCCGAAGAATATTTAGCTGGGCAGGAGAAATTCATAGTTTTGGAAATTGAAGTGTATTCAGTGAAAGCTGGTTGATATCAAGATGTCTGATTAAAAGATATTTATCCCTAACACACAGCTTCTGATTGATTCATTCCATAAACATAAATTATAAAATTTTAAACAAAATTTATCTATCTTAGAATTAAATGAATACACAAGATGCAACTCTCAAGGGGTTTTGGGGTTTTGGGGTTTTGGGGTTTTGGGG